AAGGTAAATTCTGATAGGAGGGTCCCGTGCTGTAAAAAGCCCAGCCTTGCAACATACCTAAAATGTTCTTCTATTTTGTGTGCTTTAGTCTAAATTGATGCATCCTAATAATAACAAAACACTTGCCTTGAACACTTCATGGAGCCAATCATGGTCCAATAATCAACTAAACTCTAAGACAAAATTGTCCCCACTCTTGCTTTTGTCCTGTATCAGGATTAAAAGATACAGAAATCAAAAAACATTACTCCTCCAGTTTATTAATAAACTTTCAATGTATAAAGCAGAAATTAAGTCTCTTCAAATACTTTCAGAGATTTCATAATTTCATAATTTCACCTATCTCTTATACAAAGTTAAACACCTGATCAGAGCATAAAGACAATCCAGTGTTCGAAACAGTTTATCCTCTCTTTTGTGACTAAGTCTTTGCATTACAGATCAAGACTAAAGAAGAGTTGTATAGGGTGACGCCAACCCTTGTTAGTGGGTCAGTTTTAAGTCTCCCATCTCTTGTACAAAGTCAAACACCTGATCAGCGCATAAAGACAGTCCAGTATCTGAAACAGTTTTCCCCTTTTTTGGGACCAAGTCTTTGCATCACAGATCAAGACTAAGGAAGAGTTGTATAGGGTGACACCCACCTTTGTTAGTGGGTCAGTTTTAAGTCTCCCGTCTCTTGTACAAAGTCAAACACCTGATCAGCACATTGAGACAGTCCAGTGTCCAAAGCAGTTTATCCTCTTTTTTGGGGACCAAGGGTGAAACCAACTCCTTTGGAAGTCAGCTTTCAGACACCCATGCACCTTTGGTACAAAGTCAAATGCCAGATCAGAGCATGAAGTCAGTCCAGTGTCCAAAACAATTCTTCATCTTTTTTGGGGGACAAAGTCTTTGCATCACAGATCAAGACTAAATAAGAGTTATGTAAGGCAAAAGCTTGCTGCGTGATGCTCATACACCCTTGGAAGATGACATTGCACATATAAATAAATAGTCAGCATGTATTTTATACCATCTAATCAAAGGTTTGTCACATTATTTATTAAAACATTTCCTCTTTGTTCAGTAAATGGTTTGAACTCAAGGGTAACATTAAAGTGTGTAGTAAATGGCTCACTGTGACATGGAAAAAGGTTTAAGTCTGCAGGGGGCTTTGCACAATGTGAAAGCACATCACATTCAATGACTTCTTTTATAAAATTTCTATACTTTTTATTGATAGTTTACAACTTCTGTCATCTAAAGATGACTCCACTTTGACCAAGGACAAAATTTTTTGTTAATTTTGTTATAAATTTCATAAGTTTCCTTTTTACCAGTGCTAATTATTTCTATTTTTGTTTTTGAGCTTTCACCTTTTTTCAACAGAAAAAAAATATTTCAATCTCTCGTGCAAGACCTTCAGCTGACACTGACAATACCATTCGGAAGACAGATCCATCCACACCCCCCTACATATAGATACATTTATCTTCATTGCATTTATTTGGTAAAGCTATCTTCACTGTAGTTATCATAAATGCAACTATCTGCCTTGTCCACTTTATTATTATATACAAGATATTTGGATTTATTGACTGAGTTGATAAAGTGAATTGGCTACATTCAACACTGGCGCATACCATTTTGTATGCTGTCTGGACTGAGTACAGCTATCTACTCCGTTTTAAATAGATGTAACCATCAGAGTGTAGAACTGGCAGGAAAATATTTAAATTTCCCGCGTTCAAGCATTCAAATAATATCAAAACAAATTGATTAAGCAGTTGCTAACCGGGATTAAAAATATAATGATCGACCGGCATTAGAATTAAATTAACAAAAATTGTGCAAAACAAAACAGCCTTGAGAAATACCTTATCGCTGCACGACTTTCAGATGTTTCTGTGTCCAGCAGAGAGTGTGTAGACATCGACATTCACCTTTTTTACGTTTGGCAGCCACTGAAAACATTCCTATTAAATTCAGATGAAGGAACCTTTTAAAAATATTTGTTCTTAAAAAGCCAAGTGATGCTGAAGGGCCGTTTTTTCTCAGAGTTTCATGTCAAATGATGGTGTTCTTAGTCCTCTCACACTCGCTTTATTCCACATAGTCGCTCAAGTAGTTCCCAGTCTACGCAGTCAGAAGAACCAAACAACCTCGTTCTCAGGTCTTCCAGGTGAGTGAGGACTCAATATTTGCATAAATATTAATTCTTAATAACCAAATTTGTGGTCCAAACTGAATAATTACGGACTGTGTTGCTTCCCTTTCGATTTATGGAAGATTTCAAACTTTGAGAGCTGCACTACTACATTTTTCCAACCTATATTCTTAGGTTCAATTACACCCAAGATTCCAATTTGTCCTTGTTTTCTAGGCGTTGTTCCGTTCTCAGAGTTTCATTTGCCCCCTGCTCTACGCTTTTCTGTTTGAACAATCAGCGATGAAAACTTGTAATGGGATAAAAAGATACCCTTCAAAGGAAAATATATTATAACTAATGCTTTTCGTTTCCATCTGCCTTCAGTCGGAGGGCTACCGTGTTTTCGCCAGAGACCTGGGTAGAGCATGTCTACCAAAACACCTGCTAAACATCTCGATTACCGAGAGTAAACAAAGCCAATTTTACATTACATGACCGGAGCCATCAACGGAAGTATAATTCATTATTTAAAACGATGTTTCGTACGCGAAGACTTTTACTATGTTTCCATGGAGTGCAGTCAAACTGAAAATGAATTACTCACTGTAACGATGTGATTGAGCGCCTCTGGTGTAACTGAAGTCACTGGCTGATTAAGGACTTAAAAGGCAAACAGATATCCGAATTGAATTTCTAAACAAACTACTGTTACACGTAATTTGCCGTTTATATTAATTTTGTTTACGAAAGGGGTTAACTTAAACTATAACAGCGAGGATACAGAGTGAAGGATTCACCGGAGGAAATCCTGAAATGATGTTGTCTTGGTTACATCTGTGTTGTTGGTATCGAGGGATGTTACTTTGTTACAACGATTTTCGCAGGTGAGTTTCTGACTATCAAAGAAACGACAATGGATCGGAAAAGGCAAACGTGTATAGGCCAAGACCTGTGTTTCTGCACACCTTTTTCGGTGAAAGGATCAGAATTAAGAAAGACAGAAGTATTGCATTCGAAATTGGGTAAGAATATTTCTTTACAAATGTGGACTCCTAAAACAAGTATTGTTGTTGTGCCTCCAGACTTAAAAATAAAAGGAGTATGTCTTGCACATGAACGCAAACAAGCACATACAATTCCAGTAACGAAGATAACAGCTTCCGAAGGACAGAGTGACATTGCACAAATTGACATCTCAAGGATTGAGAGCAATTTTGGCGAGCAAAAACATGATGTGAATAATGGTAAGAAAGGAAACATGCTGCTAACAGTCTTGGAAGCGTCGTTAAAGAAAAAACTGAATCCAGAATATATTCACATACTTCCATGGCGCCTTAATCGTTCCACTGTCGTTCGATCAGCTCAGTACAACAGCGCTTCGAAATAATTTCGTTTATATCCTGGGCAATCCTTGAAAGAGGAAAGACTACCCGCGGAGTTAAAATTTGGTGTGAGAAATCCCAGAAAGTCGAATTCAGCAGCTTGCAAAAAAAGCGAAGTTCTTCGAACAAAGGCAGAGGTGAACCCGTATAGAGGTAAACTTGAGCCCCTTCTACTCCGAGAAAAACCTTCGAAAAATTTACACGAGGAACTGGTAAGAGAGGAAGCTCGGGAATTCACAGGAACTCTATGCACATGAAACCCTCATGTCACCTGTCTTTTATCATGGATTTTCATTGTTACCGAATTGCAGACATTGTAACCAATAGAGAATTATCTTTGTAAATTAACTTTGAATGCAATCCAAACGTGATTACCAAAATCGCTACCCTTTTGGAGGCGCAGGTTGTTGAGACGAATAAGTCGTAACACATTCTAAACCATAGCAATAGTTTATTTACAGCCTTGCAAAAAAATTTTGATTTGTACATTAGAGCCCTATCGAATTCTTAACACTCCTAAATTATCTAAAGGATAGTATTGAATTGGAAAAACGTCAGAAAGTGATATTATAGGTTTAAAATGCTCAGTTGGTTAATCGTTTGGCTGGTTCAAGGTGCATTTGAATTCGGTTTCGCAAAACTTTTTAAAGTGCTTAACTTTAATAAAAAGGCCAGCTTACATCTTTTCATAGCCTGTTAGTAATTAACCTGCGATTAAGATACCTCCAAAGGTTTCTTATGCAGGTCGCCTTATCAGTAGGAAAAGAATAAAATTTAACAGTACTTTCGTTGGTCAAAACCATACGTTTCCTTGCAGTTTTAAATCAACGGGAGGGAGGTGGGGAGGGGGGGTGCTAAATAATAACTTCAAGACTACGTTTAAAGACTCAGGTGCATACAAAATATGCTTTTGAAGTAAAAGATTTTCTTAAAGACGGGGCACGCCTTTCACCGTCTCAACTTATATGGGAACTTTGATCAATTGGGAAAAAATGTGAATACTTACAGCCCATTCACACCAGCAAAAGAAATTTAGTCAAACCAGGTTTAACTGAATAAAAACCAAAAACTGAGCACTGAAAAAAATGAATTTTTCAAAAGTTTCTAATAGTCGCTAACTTGCATTTTTAATGTACTAAATTTGAAGTCGACAAACATCGGTGTCAGCAGCTTCTATGAAAAACAAATTTAGACGTGTTTAACAAAACAGCCTTAAAACACGTTTAATCTTTGGTGCGAATGGGGTATTAGTTACCGTCCAAGAATGTTATATGAAGGGTGCCACGAGCGGGTAACCGACGCAGTTGATAAGGAACGAAAACAAGTAGTGTTGACGTAATTTTCGCCAATCTAAGATGGCATCCTTACGTTGCACGTACACAAGACGAAGAAACAGACGAATTTGGAAACGTGTGAATATAAACACTCCTCAAGTGAGCGGTACAACCGTTTTACTGTTTTCACTCGGCAGATTTCCCTCATTTGGGTCAACCAAGCATAGCCTATAATGATTGAAACGGTCGTCCGCAAGACATTTCGCTTGAGCCTGTAAGCAAAGAATAAAATTCTTACAATACAGTTTAAATTTAAGAAACGTTTATCAAATTAGGGCGTTAGGGCCAAACAGTAATACAACACTGAACTAGGACAATGTACTTTTCATGGTTGTCTGTCAATGAACATTTTGCAGTAAGTACATCTATTTGCTCTTTTCCCTAAGTTTTGAGGTAAGACTAAGAGACACCGAATGACAAATCTCCTTAACTACTCAGAAAAGAAAGGATATTCAATCGACATCTACAGGGACAGTGATATGAAGAAAGGCCTTTCAATTTAGTAAACATTTGGTCGTGAGACTCTGAAACTTTAAACATCGAGGACTTAGGATTTCTTTTTATACATATGATGCAAAGTTTGTTTTGAACCCATGAAATTCTTCGATGTCACTGTTCAGTTCGAAAGACCTTGCTTTAACAGTTTGTTGAGTGTGTTTCCCCAACAATTTGTGTTTGAGATAGATTCATTATTGTGTTTAATCACGAGTCAAAAGTGGACGATGCTCACACTCTTTTAAGGTCGGAAGAAAACATTTAACCAAGATCCAACCAAAGAATCCAAAATGATCACAGGCTGCTATACCCACCCACTCGTCCCCTGAAATAAGTTCATTCAAAATTGATTTGTTTGTCAACTTGTTACCATTCTCTCTTCATCTGATCCCTGAGGCGCACAGAATCCGTAAAGATGAATGGCCTCGGCAACAAGGTTGTTTGGTGCAAAGCTTGAGATTTGACTATATCTCTGAGAAATTTTCAGCCGAGCAAAAGAGGATGAAACTAATTTGGGAAGGCATTGGTTTTGCTTCACCTCGCTCTTTGATTGGTCTGTAAAATTCGTGCCCACCTCGCAACCGGTCAAATGATAAACCAAAACCAAATGCTACTTAGCTACTTGCGTTTTCCCGTCCTTGAGGAAATAGGCTTGTTCTTACTTTGCGTTCTCAGTGGCTTTTTGTGAGATACATGGGTTTGAGTACACAATGATAGCAATAAAGGATAATCATTCATCCATACGCAAAAGTTTACGGTATTTTCAACAGTACCTTGAACATTAAATCTATAATGGTGGTGTCCTGACAATTCAATCACTAAATCTTCCTCAGTCGGCTCAACTAAGTCGGCGCTAAAGAGTTGATGAAAACGGTTACCTACGTGTGATGTCGCTTCGGTCTGTAGGAGAAACAAGAACAAAACTTGTTTCCAAAAACTAGACTCCATGTTGTCAATAATAGACCAAAAATTATATCAAAGTATGAGGAAAAAATAAAAAAAAAATGAGCCGAACACACAGCAGGTGTGTGTCACTAATGGTCTTTCCGTCTTCTATGACCCATTACCGAATATAAAATTTATTTTATTTGTCTATTTATTGAAATTGTTCAAGAACATTAATCCAAATTATAGTAGCAAGGAGCTTGTGCCCCGCTGACTAGGAACTCAGTATATTATGACGCATTTCATTATTACATTATTACGCCACTTTACCAAGACATATTAGGGTAAAAGATCATGAAAAACTTAGTACAGTATTTCACTGTAGACCAGGAAAAATTCGGACGGAAAGTGTGTATCATACGTCTAACCACGTATGTTATCCGCGCCTATAGCATTTTTAAGCATCGTTTAACGTGTGTATGCGTATGACTGTAAATCTCCCGGAAGTATCGGCTAAAATCAACGTCTGTTACACCAGTCAGTTCAAAATTATATTCATAGGAGTAGGCAGCCATCGTCCTCCTTTTTTGTTACACATGCTATTTGTTGGTGATTATTTTAAAAATTAAAATTCTGACAAATTGCTATCAAACGGTTCAACTCAATAAACTGGTCTAAAAACGCTTTGATAAAAAATAGTGATATACAGGAGAGGTTAATTTGTAAAAAAATGCGCTCTGATAAGCTGTGCACATGAGCGAGGACTCACGCGAAGGAACTGCCCTTCCACGTACATTAAGGATCTTTCCACATCTGACCATCTGACATCGCAAAGTGGTGGAATTCGACTGGTGATTTTTCTCTAACATATTTTGGTGGAGGTATGATAAGCAACTGTCCCAGCAACTGACCCAATTACAACGAAAAAACCAACAAACAAGCAAAATCGCCAAATGATGGGCAAATTTTAGATTTTTTTGGTCAAACTCACCTCAAGCGTCCTCATTCCATCGTTTTGTCTCATTCTTTGCTGTTTCGTCTCCCATTGACTGATAAATGCCTGTGAAAGTATGATCAAACTCTCAAACTTTTTCAGCAACTCCAAAAGCAAAACCTTTCTTTTGAAGTTCCCACTTAATTGGATAATTAAAAATACCAAATCGTTTCATATCAATGACTTCGAAAAGTCAAAAACCTATGGAAAGTGTATTTTCACTGAACCCATGATAAAGATATCGCCACTGACTGGACACCTCTAAAACAATAACATAGCAAGAAAAGCTGACCAATCATTTTCAACGTACTCGACTTTCGTTTCAATCTGTCATCACCCTAGGAGTGCATTGCATCTGATTTCTCCTTACAACATCACTCCTGAATCAAACACTAAGGTAATGAGATGAAATTATCATCAACAAAAGAAGCTCTTGATTGTTGAAAGGCTATTAAGGGTAAAAAGAAATATACGCGGAGAAAGCCAAGGAAGCAGACTTACCTCGAGAATCAAGGCAATAAACAGATTAATGATGAGAATAACTGAGATAAGATACCAGGCAACAAAATATAGTTGTGACCAACTGAAAGAAAAAAATTGAGTAAAGTTTAAAGTACAAGCACTACAGCTTGTACCCCTGTCTATAAAATTTTGACGTGTAAAGAAGCTGTTGTAACTACGCATGGTACGAAAAAAACCCAACAGAGTTGAATTTGTACATCCCTTAATTCCATAGATAATTGCCGACGAGGATATTGACAGGAAGAAGAAAGGTTAACTTACCTACTCACGACTGCGGCGTACTCTTTAAGAAATACATGCCAATTGTTCACTACCATCAGATCCCACAGTACAACCAAAGCTGCCTGTAGATAAATGAACAAAACATGTTGAAAAAACCTTCACCTAACATGAGAGGGGGTAAGTTCCTTACGGGATAATTTGGTTTTAAATTGGCCACCGTGAAGTGTTTCCGAAGCTGACGTTCTGAGCGTTAGCCCTTCGTCAGAGAGAAAGTTTCTTTACACATGTTTTCTTGTGAACCTATCTTAATGTGTTTACTGCCATTCTGAGTTTCAAAATTAACAAAACGCCGGGAAAGAGGCCCGCTGGATACTTGCATTCAGATAGCAGGCGCCAACGTCCAAATTTCAGTCGCGTTGGCGACCAACTGTTAGCTTGTAAATTTGGAAGCTCAATATTTCGAAGCAGTTATTAATAAGTAACTGATTGTTTTTGTGCTTTGAGGTAACGGCAGAAGTTGTTTTTATAACAAAAGTGAGCATTACCCCAAAATCGTCAAAATTGTTGGCGTAGTACTGCAACTGGTCAAAAGAACCGCACTTTTGAGAAAGAATTCTGAGAATTGAAACAAAACACCGGTCAAAACACACCTAATGCTGTACAGTATATCGTAACCTTTAACAACCAACACCTAATTCTTCGTATCGTCTGGACTACAGTTCTTAAAATTAAAGTTGGGAGCGTTAGTGGTCAAACCACCTTCAAGTTGGTTGATGTATCTAGTTATTCTCAACGCCTGTTTGCTTAGAAGTATACTAATATCCTGGGGAGATTCTACTAATTGGTAAATCTTGGGAATTTACTAAGGTTAAACTTACAATCAATTGAAACAACTTACCTTGTTTTTTCAGCACCGACAGCTGACGGACTGGTCACGCCTTCGAAGAGCATCATTCCCAATATGGCAAACACATAATAAGAGGCCTGTAACGAGATAAGCCACTGTCACAAGGAACCCAAAGCTTGTTCTTAAAAGCTTTGAATGCTTTAAGAGGACCTTTCTGACTATTTAAACAATAATGGGAAAACCCATCTTTTCTGGGGGCAATGAGAAGCAAACCCGGAAAAACAATTAGTCATGACAGCTTCATCTGAAGCTTGCCATCTAAGCAATATTTTGCTTGCAGCTATTTCTGATTTTTATGCTGCAACTGTTTGTCGTTTGAGGTTACAATTTCAGTGGAGATGAGAATTATTTGTGAGTTTCTTTCAACTTGCAAGCAAAAGATATTCTACATACCACTATAATGCCACCAAAAGGCCGCAAGTGTTTTAATAATTTTATCAGTGTTTCAACAATGAGGGAAAGAGACTGAAAAGGAAACAAAACACAAAACATAAGAGAAGATGCGAAAGTATCAACATCAGTAATAAGACTAACTCTTAATTGAGTGACAAAAGTAGTTGGCACGCCTCTCCTCACTATGTGGTCGACAACCCTCTACTCAACATAATAACCTGAAATCTCGTCATTCGTCTTTACTTAGTTACTTGAAAGCATTCCCCCGTCAAACACATCCAAAATCGTGCTGCTTATACGATGAAGGAGTTAAGGGTCTTACATTGATGTTCATTGATTAACAAAATGCAAACTGAGTAATAAAGAGATAAACTGTCGTACCTTGATGCTAGGAACTATTCTCAAAAGTCTGAAGATAATCAACATATTGATTACTCGTATCATGTTCGCTAAGGAGAAGATACTTTCTAGATTGTGTAGAGGTTGACTATTTGATGAGCTGAGAGCGAAAAGGAAAAAAACCTTTTAAAGTTCAATCTATGATATTGAGTATTTTCAACTTTCTATGACTAAAACAGACTGTTGATGAGGCTTTTCCAACGACTCAAAGACATACCAACCCTGCATTTACTCCAAGAGAAAGATATGTAATGAAGAAGCAGAGAAAAGCCACGCAACACAGCAAAAAAGCAATACAGAAATAAAATTCGAGGAAGACGTGGAAATTGTGTATCATAACGTTTTTACTTACCTCGAGAAAGGAGGGCCAAAGATAGAGACATGGACAATCTCAAGGGCCTGAAGCGCAAACAATAGCAATTCGCTTTCAATCAACTGAATAGTACCAACTGATTATTCAAAACAGTCATGAAGATCTTAAGAAAAAATATTCGGCTCACTCGACTATATTTCACTTTTTATGTCCTTTTCTCACCCTCCAAACTACCGTATTCTTAGTCCAAAGGATTAAGAACAACATCGTAAATTCTTTGCAAAATAATTCTGACAAAGAACGCTGACTAAGAGTGCTTAACCCTTCATCTTAAGATCAGAATGCATATTCTCCATACATTTCCTAGGCTGCTCACAAGGTGAATATACTTGAGACCTTAATGTGTGATTGGGTATAGAAAGGAGAAATTTGAAGCTAGTCACTCTTGAGGGTCAAAAGGTTAAGTACACTTGATGAAATAAAATAAATATATATATACATACCACCAATAGGAGGGTAACAACACCACAATAGATATCAACCTGTGGAAAAACGCAGTCAGTTCTTTACTTCCAAAGTAAACTCCCAGTACCAGTTGTCACAAACATCTTAAGATCTTAAAGTCTTTCATACTTATAATGCATCCTAACCGGGCGTAACAAATACGGGCTCACAATTTTTGTCAGTAAAATATGTACTTATTGACTGAGTGGGAGGGCGGACGGGAAAATATTTGTCTCGAGGTCATGATGCCCGACCAAACTCAGTCAATAAGTATTTGATCATACTAACACTAAGTGTTAGAAATTACGAAAATTCTGTTTCAAACCAAATACGATCGACGGGCGCACACAAGACAACCACAAAAAAAAAAGATTCTACAATAAGAACTTTTCCTTTGTTTTTTCGAGGCAGAACAAGAAATTCACGAAAAACACGACTTTTTTTTAACTCTTTTCTGTTTTTTCCCTTAAGTTTTTGCGACAAAGCCGTGTGAAACTGGGCCAGACGGTTTTTTTGGTACCGACCCACGTCAACCCGTGTGGCCCTGTACACGCCAGCTTTCAGTATTAAGAGGCTTTAAGAAATGTTGCGCATAAAAATTCCTTATCCTTAAATATCCTCACTTACTAAGGATGAACGATATCTTTGCCAACCAATAGCCCACAGTTTTACGATCTAGCAAAAAAAGACAATAATTTAAAGACAGAGGGTCAGCCTGGAAAACTCTGCGACTTTTTGAGGAAAACAAAACAAATGTAAACTAGGATGCTAAACATGGACTCTGTTAACATTCTGTGAAAAATCACTATTGTAACACAACATCGGGTTTCCTTTCACTCCCCACCCCCCCCCCTTTATCCAAAAGGATAATAAAATAAAAGTAAGAAAGACACTCACGCACCAAAAAAACCGGTTTAAAAGATGGAAATTTTCAGTGAGAAAGCAATGATCTTTTGATACCATCGTAGGCAAATAAAGGCTACGTTACTGCCTCATGTATCATCAACAATAATGACCAATAATTTTAAAACTGAAGGCAAATAACTAAAATCGGAATGCAAAATGCTTAACTGGACCTTAAAATACTAAAGCATCTTCTATTTGGCAACACAGATCTAATGTGATTCGGTTAATTTTGAGACCAGTATTTGATGATATACAACTGTTTTACCTGTTCAATAGTATAGTATAGCACGAAAAAGAAGTTAACAATCTGCAGAATAAAAAAGCAACGGAGACACAATGATCATTAGAAATGTGAGAAACTTCGAGCGTCAAAAGTTAATCAATCTCCAATTTCAGATTGTCACAATTCAGTGTAAATGTTTACCAGGGACAGTAGGTTTTTCTAGTATAAAGTGTACATGTAAATACTTCATTGCTATTCAGGTATTATATGTACGAATAAGAAAGTATGTGGTAGAGAGCCAGCACTACAAAGTTCTTTTTTTTATACAGCGAGTTAAACTTACGATAACCGATATAACCTTAACAAAACTATACAAATTATAGTCAATATACTTTTTTCTGGTACAAGGCTACTTTGTTTTTCTTACGCAACTATTTGCTGAAAATCCGTTCCAGAAATATTACTTACTGATAAATGAGAGTTGTTTGTTTTCCAAGTCTTGTCGTATTCAAAGTCCAGAAGGATCTAAAAAGAAAAAAAGAGAGAAGAAGAAAAAAAAACTTTTCTAAGAGCTGGTGCAAAACCTTCCACCTCGTGGGTAGAGTGCAAGAATCAAATCTGATGACTGAAAATTTCAAGTCAATGACACTAAAATTAATAAAAAATTCACGGTATGAATTGGTGGTATTTTCAGACAAATGCACGACTGGACGTTGGGGAAATATTCATAAACAAATTTATGTCGGAAACTCTCCTAAACGGCCGAGACAACACTGGGCTGAAAGGAATTTTCACGTTTTTCATATAAAATATTTACAAGTTACAACATGATTTCTGGTGATATTTGTTGTATATAAGTACTCGTAAATTCTTCAAAGACTAGAAATTGCACAAGCCCTACGGACTCGTGTAATTTTTTGTCTTTGAAAAATTTACTCGTGCTTATTAACAACAAATTGCACTTGAAATCATTACCTATACATTGCGAAGTGAAACGAGAGGCAGCGAAACGAGTGCTGAAGGAAAAGAACATTAAGAAAATGGTGGAAAAAAAATCGAAAATGGGAACACTCATTTATCATTAACACACAATCAATTCAATTAATTTGACAGTCCAAGGTAGAGAGGCAGGTGATTGAGGAATGATAAGCAAATACGCACGCACACACGAACTATGTGCGCACGTAAGTACGTATGCATGTACGTAAGCACGTACGTGCGCACTCACTAACTCACAACCTGTGCCCTTGCTTCATACACTTACAGAACACTTACAGAAACAAGAAGCACGTTAACCCCAGACATTAAATCCCCGGCGTAGTCAAAACATCTGCTAGATACAATAATTTGAATCTTTCTCAGCAGAGGATTCTCCACGTAACTCATGGGAGGTCTAATTCGACGTCTGGTTACTTGGTCAAGTGCGTCAAACAAGTCTTGAAATTGCTTCGCATTAAGGTGACCTGTGGTGTTTTTAGCCAGGCGCTTAAAAGACAAGAAATAAAACAGCAAAAGTTGTAAATATCACCGAGAAAAGGAAAAAGAATCGCTAGCACTAAATTACATATCAGAAGGGCTATAAAGTTTGCAAACGATCTTCAGATGATTATCGCCCTACCGATCAAATCGCATGGCGGACCATTGACAACCAAGGATATAAATAATGGTAATTGAACTGCACAGCACAGCGCAAGTTCGATTTGAAATCACAAGTATGATTTCAGACCAAAATTGCACGACACAAGGTTCAATTACCACTTTGTTACATCCATTTTGAAATCGCCCAAGTACGACTTGGTCAGTTCAAATATTTTATTGATGCAGTACTGAGCTAGTTTGAAATTAAATTCATCCATTTTTTAGGGGGGGGGGGGGGGGGAAACAAGAGTTTTGGAAACAAAGGTTGCAAAATTTGCCACATGTTACTCTTTGTCTTTCATTTTCCTGCAATTACATTGGTTACTTTAAACAAGCCTTGAAATCTGATTGGTTGTTTTTTTTTCAGTGTAGCCTCCTCATTGGCTGGGAAAATGGTGCGATTTAAAGCAAAAAATGGTGTGATTCATGAATAAATCGCACCAATTAGAGCCAATCAGATTACAGGGACCACCAGTGATTTCAAAATGGGTGCAATAAAACAAGGAACTAGGTAGAAGTTGAAACAAAGTGCAAGTGACCGGCACCAAGCGCAGGAATATGGATGCAAGTCAGTGAATCAAGAGCCGACCGAGTCCTTTTTTTTTTTGGCATCTGACTGATCAAAAAAGCCCTTAGGCGTCTAGTAACATACTTAAGCCTTGGACTCCTGGGAGTGACTAGCATCTAATTTCTCCTTACAATACCCTTCCTGAATCACACATTAAGGTCGCGAGAATAAAGGAAATGGTAACCAACTAAAGTAGCTTTTGATTTCTGACCAGATTCTCCTTGTCAGCACATTAAGAAATGTATACAGAAAAGTATGGAGAATGTGCACTCTGATGTTTGGGTGTAAAGAGTTTAGTGAGTCTACAGCCAAAGAAATGCCGTATTTGTTTCCTCTGTGTAGCAAATAGCAGAGAATCATCGTTTCCCCCGGTCAATAGAAGCCTTTGACTTTTTACAGGGCGAAACAACTCCTTACCAACAATACGACTTGACTGGCTCTTCTGCCAATGTTTGCCTTTTCGATGACCTTTTTGGCGTCAGCTGTGCTTACATGTCCTCTGTAAAAATTATTAGACGAGAACACAAACAATTACTTATTGGTGCAAATGACACTGATATGCATAAAAATCACTTTAAAACTACAACATTGATTGGTCATCAGAAAAAAATGTAAAAACATTTGCATGTTATACTGACTTTAGGTACTTGCATTCTTAATATTTTTCTCATTTAGCCAATGAACATTGCACAAAAGGTTATTTTTCTAAGAGCAACGTTTTCGCGGCCAATTCGCGTCAAAAACTGTTTGCTACTTACAATGGCACATCGCCATCTTGATCTTGAATTTTAAGAAGAACCTCAAATGCAGCTCTGATTCCAACTCTTCGACGAAAAAAACTTGCTTGAAGCGAACTCTGGAGGAAAATTCAATCGTGTAACTAAAGCTCTGAAACCCTAATAGCCATTGAATATCAGAAGAGCTAAATATTTATAAATTCATTACACTAATAACCTAGTATTACCAGCTAACAAAAAAAAGTTTGAGGCAAGTATTTTGCTTCTTTCCCTAAAGACAATAGATAAGATGTTGAGGTGCATTTCACGTTACCGCTATCCAGTGGATACGGCATCCAATCAGGCTGAATCCATCAAACTCTGAACAGTTTCCACCGCAGATTCAATGAAGGTAAAAAGAGAGTTTTGTTCTAATGATTAGGCTCATGTCATGCCGCACAAATAAACAAAGAAACCGTGTGCGCGCGTGCGACATGAGTGTACCAATAAGAAAAGACAAATAGGCAATCATACAGGCAATTAAAGAGCAGACTTACGGTCAGGTATCCTCTAAACTGGTTATATATGACAGCCGTTAACATATTCAAGAAGAAGTAAAGACCTATATTAAAGAAAAGAGGAATTATGGTACAGTATTGAAGAAGAAATTTAAAACTTGTTTAAAGGGGGTAAGTTTCTAAAAAAACTGTGGTGCTGCGTCGGTGGGAGAGTATAACAGGGTAATTTAGTATTATCAACTGAGTAGATAAAACTAAATTATCCTTTTCAATAGCGTTGTTTAACAGCGTGTTAACGCAATGTGCACTGCTGACACAGAACAGACCAGACTGAGCACATTTAGATAGTACTGCGTTGAAATTGGACAACGTCGGACAAAAATGAGAGACTACTGTTATTGTTATTATAAACCTCCCCTGTGACGTGAAAAATCTTACGTACACAGTCTCTGCCGGGGCGTCAATAATCAGCCTGTAAGTAAACTCGGCGTATCCTCTTCCCATTTTTTCTCTTAGGATCAAAGGAACCTCTCCACAGGGTAGACCCTTCGCACCAATTCGATTTGCTTGAAAATCCTTGTGAGAGCTGGGAAGGAGTCGCTAACACTTGGACGCGCGAATCGTTTGGCACTTCATTAGATGGACTGGAAAAGGTTGACACAACCTTCAACTCGTCGTTTCAGTTGCCTATTTTAAAGCGCCTACTACTGCCTAATAACAGACGTTCTCATCACTACGTTCGTGAGGGTTACCAAAGTTTGTACAAAGTTTGTAAGTAGTTACTGACGATTGTGGAGCGCAGGGTCACTCGATCAAGAGATGAAACTTGTGAAACATGAACTTCAGCTTAATATCTTTCCTCTAAGTACTCACCAATTATTGTAAAAGTTATGAAAAAAATTGCGTAGAATCTGTTTTTCATGTAAGCAGGCATCATCACTGATTCAAAACAAAGAGAAAACGTCTCAATTAGAAAGTCAACTCAGTCAACCAATTATTCATTTATTTACAAGTAAACCATTCATTTCAAGTCCTCAAGCGAGTAAAAATTTCTAAAATCCTTCCAAGACGGCTAAAAGTCTGTTTCTCTCTCGTTAAAGTGAAAGAAATACTTTCTTTAGAAAGTGAAAACGTTTGGGCCTGAAGAGATTGCGGAAGACACGAAAACGGCAGGGCGTGTCTTGGTTGTGTTGTGAGCGAGAAAACTGGACCCAGCCCTTACACGCCATACCGCATCATGCAACCATCCGTTCCTGAGACTATAAGAAGAAAACAAAAAACAGACTACTGGTTATTTAGATCTTTCCCTATTCCAGGTAATCAGTTAGTAAACGGGCGAGAAAGCAACACTGCGATCGTCGTGACTATTGCAACTAGTTGGCAAACTATGCGTCTGGAACGACTAGAAAACAAAATACGCAGCAGAAGATACCAGGCAGCTATGAATTCAACACTGATTGGCCTGGAAAACCCAATAAGTCAGTTATAAGGCTGACAAGGTTGAAGTTCAAAAGTACTGAGTAAAAAATATTTCAAAGGTTTCAGAGTAATCTCAAAGAAGTTTTGCTTGAACATGTTATTCTTACCATCTGGGTTATTAGCTGTAGTCAACAGAACCAAAAGACTCCTCAGAGATATTTCCAGCTTTGGGAAAAATTCAGAACCCTCACAAGCTGCACCACTGGCTGAATCATTATTGCGGTCGCTACACGAGTAACTCTGAAATATGAATGCGTATTACCTCTTTATGAGCGGCATATGATTTACTACAAGTCACATAACACTTACGCTGAAATGTGCGAATCTATAATTTGACGAGTCAATGTTTGTCAGTTAGAGAGTAATTAAATGGTACTTTACCACAAGGGTGCTGTTATGTCTTGATGCCTTCCAGTGTGAAGAATATGGCATAACAAGAAAAAAAGAGAGATTAGAGAGTTACATGTAGTCAAAACTACAACAAAATTTTGAACGTGATTGGTCATCAGCAGCTTGATTTGAGGACACTAAAAGGACAGTGACAAATGAAGATTGTCACAGGACAGCTGGTTGACATTCACTATCAGTAAGGAGCAATAAGGATGTGACAGGCAGTCACACAATATTCAGGCCTACAGTATAACAGCTAAAAGTAGGATTTGACAAAGTGACTTACCTGTGGGAACAGAAGCATACCACACATGGCAAAGAACCACAGGTGAAGAAGAAGAAGAAACAGCACACTAAAAACATGAGAGCACACTCAGCTACAATGTAAACTGTAAGTATAAGTAAATATGAAGTCAGACAATGGTTCGTACCTGAGAATTTCTGGTACTGTTCTCTTTATTGCATGCAACTGTAGGAGAAATTATTTTGGAAAATATAAAACATCCATGTTTACATGTAGCTTTTAAAGGAAACACACACAAATTTTGTGTCGAGGAACAAACCAGGTTACTTTGTACAAATTTTGAGACTATTTTTGAGGGAAGCAATTACTGCAAGGGGTTGTTTCCCAAAACTTAAATGACCAGTTATTCACACAAGGTCTAACCCAAGTAGTGGGCCTTATATATTCTCTACAAGAGGTTTACTTTCATAAAATAAATATCCTTCCTTGACACTGTTCACAAAAATAAATGTTCAGATAAAAGATTCAGCTAAATTCAAGATAGTTTAGAAAGCAGTTTTGTTAAACAACAGCTAAACTTAGTTTAAATAACTGGCCCTAAGAATCACAGTGTAAGTATTGCAATGGGGCATAATGCATTGCACAGTTCAGGTTATGGTATATAACCTTCAGGGTATCATGGCCAAGTGATATAAATGTAAGGTTCAATTAGAGTCTAGAGGTCCCAGCCAAGTTAAATTGCACATGCTTCCAAGCAAGAGATCTTTCCACCTGTAGTGTCAATTTTGTAACAAAATATCAGTTACTCTGGAGAAAGAATGCTTTTGAAATCTGAAATGTATTATTTTAAAATCAATACATAAAATATAAAATAATGAATCCTCAATGTCATCTTGCATATAAGTACCAGGCTGCTCTTTCACTATTTGGGATTTTTTTTTTTTCAGTTTTATCTTCAGTTTGATTTTTCTCACTAAGCGCTCTAAATCTAACTTACATGTACAACCTTTATCATCACAAAACTTAAAGTTATGGTCAAACCCTCAGGCTGTGCAAAGCATCACTCACCAGTTTTTTCATTAAAGAAGAGTTTTGTATCAGAAAGAATGGTCTGAAAAGGCGGTGAATCCTGACACGCTATTAAAATAACAATGAAATATCAGCAATTTAATATAGACATTTCTGCTAGATAGGTCCTGGAGCAAGTTTGGATTTTGTTTCATTTTTAATACCTTGCCTCACTGGATACTGAAAACCAAAACAAGCAAAACATATTAACTAAAAGTGTGCCACAGTATGCATATTAAAATGGTAGACAGAGTACAACAAATAAGCTGCCTAACCGTTATACAATGTCTCATCTACTCATTTTCAGAATCATGCTCTCCCAGATTAATAACTCACCAGTTTACAGCCTGAACTGAGTGAGATAAAAACATCTATGAAGGAGATTATGAGTACCCCACAATATGACAGAAGCCATCTGTTCTTGATGACTTCCTGTCTTCCCAGCACATGACCCTGAAAATCAGAAGTAAACCAGAATTTAGAATAAATTCAAGTAAGTAGTATAAATATAGACCTATCTTAAATTCACTTGTCAAATAATTAAATAACAAATGTTGCAGCTACTAGAATATTTCGAGAACAAGCACATTGTGCATCTATATGAGAAATTGCCATCTAAAACTTTTTGTGGATCTTTGTGTAGGATCTTGAGAATGTTCAAATAAATGACATTTAATGCTCTGGACAGCTTAAAACCTTCAAAGATGTTTAGCTATGGATACTTTTTTTTTTTTAATTTGGATCAAATTTTCAATTGATATCAGAGATCCATGCCTACAATATTTCAACACCATAATAATTATAAAGCTACAAGCCTGAGGGTCATGCATGAAATCAGTAAAATCTAACTTTGCTATAGATTAATTGAAATGATTAGTAATAAAAAAAATGCAAGTAGTGAAAAAAGACACACAACCAACTCAAAACTGTTTACATTATAAAAGTTAAAGAATCAAATGTAGACCAAAATTAGAAAATTAAATCCCAGTAGAGACCCTACCATACTTTGAGATCTAAAGGATCCTGAAAATATAATCTCAGAGAGTATCAAGAATTTTGATGTTAATAAAACTGTAATGGGAAGACAACCAAGTCAAAGACAACCAACCTTGACAACCAAGTCAAAGACAAAACAAAGAAGGAAGATGATTTCAAAACTCTCTGTGACTCCACAAGGAGGGTTAGGTCTCTTTCCACGAAACCGAGGATCAGATGATAGCCTTGAAATGAAACAAAGATTGCAGACAAATGATTCAATATTAAACACACACTTTTATGTCATATTGCATTTGATGTCTATCTCAATTTTATTCATTTTCATCCTTGGCTTGAATTTCAATCTCCTCTGTTTTTGAAAACAGTAATGAAAGAAAATGAGTTTGAAACAAAGCAAATTCAAATTTAAACAGGGGGAAATTTGTTAAGGAATTACCCAGAACAAGAATTTTGTGCTCTCTTCATTGAGTTGATATATTTCCCAATAACATCTGCATGTAGCACAGAGATAACAAAACTGAAAATCTCTTTTATCAGTTGTACATAGAAGTAATAAACAATCTGGCCCAATCTACATGTGTTTTTATTTTTAATCTAAACAAATATGCAGCACAAATAACTTAGAAAATTCTGTAAGTCTGCTTGCTAATCGGAGAGTGTTTGTTCCAAAGAATGCCATGTGAAGTATGTTAGGCATTATCAGATACACATACAAGTACAAAGACACAAATACTTACGTCAAAGAAGAAGGCTTTTCTACAAATGCCAGCATCAAGTAGAGGAAGATGATAAATGTGTATCCCCTGTAACACAAATTAGATCATATTTTTTTAATGGAAATATCAGTCCACTTCCATATGTCTAATTAGAATATCAGTCTGTACAAGATAACTCTTAGGCTAGGGATAAATTTAAAATTCCATCAATTAATAAACTAATTCAAAAAAAATTATTTCTAATAGCATCTTGGATTTTTTAAAAACTAAAAAGAAAAAATGGCAAACTGAAAAATCACTGTTAAGTCAAGTAATAACACAAACATTGGCAATGTATTGCTCAAATGTTTTTGCCCTTAAAAGGATTGAAATTGGTCAAATTAATTATATAATTAATTATAAGTTTAAGAATTTGTCTCTCCACAGTCACTCATTAGTTCAGCAAAAAATAGGCCATTTTTAGCCACATGTAAACCTCTGCTTACTTCCAGTTGACTGGAAGTAATCATAGTGGATGGGAACAAATTAATGTAGATCTCAACTATTAAACTTTCAAGGATATTGTATTTGCTGCTCAGCTATTAAAAATTTAAAATCAAAGAATATCTATGGCCAGCTCGTGCATAAAGTACTTAATTTTGGGATGAAACATGATTGTGAAATTGTAATTATTGGTGTTGCAACCATGCAAGGTTGCTCTTATCTCAAAAGCCATGCTTCCGAAAAATCAGAGAGAACCAGAAGTTCTTTTTGACTGATTGAAGTTAAAGATTTTGGCAATGAATTCCTCACATTTTCTTTCATCAGAAAAGCACAGGATTATTTTTCTCCTCTGCTGATCAATCCAAATGCCAATGTTTACCTAAGATAATTGAATTCAATCACGGTTCTTGTTTTATATCAGATCAAAAACAATCAAAGCTATTCTCAGTATTAGGTTTGTGCCCAAACTCAACAAGGTTTTGTTCACTTGGAACTACTCCAATATGCTTTCATGCTCCAGCGACTTTGGGACAACAAATCACAGTCAGTGTCTACATCTTAGTGAGTAACTTGTTTCTATATTAGAATCCCTGAAAAACTCATTTGCACGAGTTAAAAATGAATGTTCTAATCCCGCATCATAAAACAGTACTCCATTCACTGTATATAGATGTTACCAGTACAGTCAAACCTTGATTGTCCACACCTTGATTATCCGGATTTCTCAATTATTCAGACTTTTTCTCTGATCCCAGTTTTGTCATGAATATTTAGAAGTCATGATCAAGATTTGTAACCATATTTTTCAAAACTAGAGCATTAAAAAGTGAAATAAAGGCATGTTTGTTTCACTTTCAAAAAGCAAAAGCATGTGTCGTAACTAATGAAGAACATTTGAATGAGGTCTGATTGGCTTAGACTTGCTTTGTTGCTAAGTGAGATTTCACACTCTATTGGCTCGTTCAGTGTGGTATGCAAGATAAACAAGCTACACAGCATCACAAACGTTTATTCACGATCATCATGTCCTTGATTTGTAAATGTTTCGTCTCACAATTAAATGTTACTTTCTCAATTTCATCAGTTTTTGTTCCTCATTAATGTTCATGTTCTTGATTATCCAGACCCTCGATTATCCAGACAGTATTTCATCTAGTCCTAACTAGTCTGGATAATCAAGGTTTGACTGTAGTTTAAAATGAGTAACTTTCATCTACATTATCTACATTATCTACTTTCTCTAGAAAATATAATTCTGCTTACCATCTGACAGGTTTGCTGTAGTACCACCTGTACATCCACAGTGACTTGCTGTCAACTTTGTGGTTAATTGATCTATACTATAAAAAGACATGGAAAGGATTTGGATTTGCATGTACATAGAAATACATAATAAGGGTTATTTATCATGCCACTCATACAGTGACGTGTGTGTTATTTAAACCTTTAACTCCCTGATCAAATTTTTAATTCTTCTTATTGTCAACCATAAAATCATAATTCTTATAATGTTACTTCAGATAATTTAGCATTGGATTGACTAATTATTCCCAAATTGATATTTTTCTTTATTCTCATCACTTATCTGGTTAATATTGGATTGAATTCTATGGAGAAATTCTGTCCTAATCACCTTTGGGAGTTGAAGGGTTAAAACTGTTATGAAAAAACTCCCTGTATAACTGCTGTACTCAACAAAAGCCCTATTGCCTCACATATGACCCACAGATCCACAATGCAAAAAGAAAGGAAGAAAGAGAAACAGAGGCTGCCATATAACAGAAAGCTTATTGGCTGAGTACTGTTGAGCTGGATGGAAAAATATTTTGCCCTCAGTCTTCAGGGATGTACATCTCTGTGCTTGGTATATACAGTACATCATATCGTCACAAGCCAAATAATTCTCATCTGCCCCTTCAATAACTACACAGTTAAGATCCCAGAATGTTAATGACAAGAGGTTTAATGGAGAAATCTGAAGGACACCATTGAACAGTTAAGACAGAGCTGCTTTTTTATGATTTATAGCACAAATTTCTCCTTTTTTACAAATAAAGGAATAAATTTAAAACCAGTTCACAGCTAATGCTCACCCCTAGCAAAACCCTAAATCTCACCTTCTTGGTTGAAAGAAAGATGTTCTCCACATCTCTGGAAAACAACCCAGTACAAAGGCATGATATTTGATAGAGGATCCTACAAGGTGGTTTTCTCTCTAATTGTTTCTTGAGGGAGGGGGAGAAAGGGGCAAATTTTGTTTTATCATTTGACCACTACAAGAGTTATGCCTTCCTTGACCTTAACAGTATAAAATACATGAAGAGGTGAGGGATATGGAGAAGTTAATCACTATCCCCATCCACTACTTCCTAGTAATTTTTGTTGTTGCTCCAGGCCTCTCCCTTCTGGACTACGAAAATTCTTCTTATTTCACTACAACTGGCCAAACCAAAATTAGGAAACACAATGACAATGAACTAACAAAAAAATTGGAGATGGCCTCATTACCTGTGCTGCATCTTCTACAAACACAGCTGCCTGGTTAATTGCATGTCCTGATATATCTAAAGAAAGATGAACAATATAAATACAAACAATTTTCAACCCAAATTTCGGCTTAAAAGTACAATCTAATGCAAAATAAATCATGCACTCCTTTAATTTTTATTAAATTGAACACTGGGCTAACAATCAGCGAAAGGATAGCGTCGATGGCATGCGGAATTAAGGGATTATACATAACCCCTTCAAATGAGTTTTGACTCGTTGTTGGACAAATATATATATTACAAGACCTTTAGGAAACCATCATCATAGAAAGGACTAATATGTAGTATTTTAGGCTTTTAAAGTCGATTTTTGACTTAAATGCATTCAAGATAGCATTCTTGGAGTCAAATCGTCAATGTTGCAAATTAAGAATCGCCAGTGCTAATCGATAATATGAGACAAAGCACTTCTGTTCCCAATCTATCGAGGTTTGATTTTCCACAATTATGAGTAAAAACTCGCAGAATGATCACAAATACTTTACCATCGTCATTAATTAAAAAACTTTGGATATTCTGCACCTCCATTTGTTCCATTACACGATCGAATGAAATTGTATTCGTCGCAGTCCCGAAAGCTTCGACCTTGGGAAAACAAAACACGGGGTGGGGGACTACTGCTGACCATTTGCGGTGTTTACCGTCATAATCAAGCAAAACACGGAGTGGGGGACTACTGCTGACCATTTGCAGTGTTTTCCGTCAATCAGGGATGCTGGGTTAAGGAACTTTTAGATCGGGACCAGCAAAGCTTTTCACAGAATCAAGGATAAGACTGATAATAGATAATAAATAAGATAATAAATGTATGTTTTTATTTACATGGCATGTGTTAAGTTCGTGTACAATATTTGGAGCTGATGCTGGTTGGTCAAGCAAGAGGTGATAACCATTTGAAATGCCAATTATTACTGAGACATTGGCCTTTCTACCTCAAAACACATGCCCTGAACGTAACAACAAATCCGGATGGGATTTTGGGGGGTCACTTTGAATAAACAAATAAATTATAGAAAAACGAAGTGTAAATGTTTTTGGGAAGGAATGTTCCAGTTCCGTAGTTTGAGAACCTTTCGACCACTCGTCAATCCAAGTCTCGGATGTCTTCTTATTACTATCTATCGAAATTTTCCTTTAAAACTTGCAAAAAACGAACATTCATCCGTCTTCTCCAAATGTTTAGGGGCTAATGTCTGGTAAAATCCTCAAGAAAGAACGAGGAACGGGCGTTGTTTTCCGTGATCAAAGTCCTCACGGCGTCAGCTAGACTAAATGGAGGTGTTAAGAGAAGATCGACTCCTTTGAAATGCCCGGCGGTCACGGAAAGATGTCACTGAGGGCCCACCTCAATGTATTCTATTTGATCTGTAGTTCTTGGCCCATATCAGTGTCGCACCCCGGATTGAGGGTTCCACTTTCCAAAGGGGCTTAGAGGGAAATTCTTAAAAATCTCCTGCTTCTTGTTTGAACGTCTAGATTATTTTATATATTGGACTCTTTTGCCCTTTTAACCTCCTAATAATAACTATAACTGTATTCTAAACGCGTACTATATTACTCCACCAGAAAGAATTCCAAGCAAAAATTATTTACAGTCATTTCACAAGATATATATAATACACCACATCTTAGAAACCTACACGATTTTCAAGATTTTTGTACATAAATTTCGTATGGATAGCTGATCTGTCAGTATGAGATGATTCAAAACACTTACCCTATTGATATAGGGGCTAAATTCCTTGAGCGAGGTTAGATAAACTTATTGCAAAGTCATTGTCTTTTTCACATAGTGAACCCATATTCAACGTGCAGTTAAGTTATTTAGAAAAACCAATACATCAATTATTCTTTTAGATGACTTCTTTCTCAACAGCCGGTGAATGTATTCCATCCTCGTCTCTCTTTTTCTCTATGTAGGTTTCCCACACCATCATATAAATACATCGTGCGAGAACTACTAAGATCGGCCTTGATCTTTAGGACAGGAACTGTTTGGAAGCCAATTATAATCTCCTCGGCTCATCTATGTGTTTCAAGCTTGTGCAAGCTGTAAGGCTGAGATGTGCAGAGGTTGTTATTTTGTCGGAGATGTTCCAGTCTTGCTAGGTTTTGCTGTTTGTAAACGGCGTTTCTTTTCTTGAGACTGAGTCGGTAAAAGGTGAAAGCAAAACGAAACAAAAGTTTGTCAAACTATACATTTAGAAAATTTCTCCAGTGGAGCTACATTTTATTACGATAGAGTGCGAACTCTTTCGTTTGGAAAAGTAGGTAAGGGGGACCTGCACTAGAAATATAACCTGTGTAGGAGAGGAACTGTGGGGGTTTCCGCGTATGAGAATTGTTAAAAATACCAGTCTTAACTATTCTAAACACGAAAACTGGCCTTTGAACCAATCGTCTAGACTGATACATCAAAACAATGGAGACACATATGGGTTTTAATAATGATAATCATTAAATAATCGTTTGATATATTTTGCTTTAGAATGTAGAGTGGAATATGGGAGTATCACTTATTTACTCAAGTTAAGCTTGGTCGGTTCTTACCATTTTAGGCATGTGCCCGTCTGAGTTCCTTTACTTCTCATTTCAGGTCTTTCTCTTCCCTGTTTCTCCAGAGAAACTTTACGTAATCTATTTAGCTCTGTCAGCAACGCCCTAAAAATTTAAGAAATAAAATTTACTTTCATTTTTTCCCCCAGCCTGTCAGCAAAACTTTTTTCAACTTTAAGGGTTTTACATTTGGTGTAACCAAGATACGAGAGAGATGGTTCTTTGGTGAAGATAAAACTCACCATAAGGTAAATTAAGATTTATTAGGAAGCACACTCACACAACTATTTATTTCTACACTCTCGGTTACAAATGCTCTAGTTATCTAAAAACAAGCACCAAATTGATTTTAGTCCTAATGATGTAAAAAATAATGCAAAGTTTTGAATAACAATGGAAGAAATGAAGACAAACGAACAATTTGAACCTAATCAGACATATTTTTTGGGTGACCAGAAATAACCGTGATCTAAACAGTGGTCTGAATTCAATTGTACGAAAACTTCAATTTGCACCTATACTTTAGGTGGCAACTCTTATTGTGCATTCTATCTTCATCAAGGACCTTAATTCACGAATGTAAAATTTTCTTTTTGTCTTGTTTTTACAGAGGAGCTTAGCTTGGTTGTTAAAATTTTAGTCTTTTCAACAGGTATATTAATAGATATCAGGCAAATAAAAGACGAAGAGGATAATTATCTTTCTTTCATTCAATCTCCTTGCCTTTCATAATTACAATATCCTTAATGAACTTGTGCGAGCCAAAGCAAAGTCATAAGCATACGGTTTGTGAGTTCTTTATTAACTAATCCTTGTCTTTGTTCTCCCTCCTTAATTAATGATTTAAATTTCTGATAACCACTTTGTGTTTTCTTTGTAGAAGAAAAACATTGTTTCAGACTTAATTATGATCTACTCTGACTGAGATAATTTGTATGATTATTGAAGGCTTCTTCTATGTTACCTTACGGTCGATTCAAGGGAGTCTACTTTTTGTCGAAGTATGCTGTTTTCTGAGTTGCACGTCTCCACCCTGAAAAAGAATGGCACGTACCAAACTAAATCAAAATGAAAGTTCGGAGAGCATCGCTTTACGATAATATCCTTAGAGCAATTCTGTGACACTTGAACGTCTTAAATAAACTTTTAGCCGGCGCAAGGGTGAAAACAGACAAAAGCAGGCCAAGAAAAAGTTACTTACAAAGTAAATAAAGCGAATCCTTAGCGTGCAAGACTGCCTACTTATATTTGTTTCAGTAATAATCCCAGTTTGCATTAAATTAATCAACAATGGTCACATCGCATGGCCATACTTAAACATACTATTTTCCCCCAAAAGTGTCACCACTGACTGCTTTTTTAAGGGCTAAGTGGCTAAGGATCACAGTAACTTTATTGGTAGTTTTTATTTGTTACTATGCAACTTACCTTTTCTCCAAACCTTCGACGTACTCTTTTTTCTTTCGCCTGCTTTCTTGTGCAGAGAGCTTGGGAAAAAAAAAAACATACCATCTCTAATTTTAGTTTATTTTATTTTACAACCGCTCCTCAACTTATTATCGTGTTTAAGCTGTGGATGTGCTAGAACTCGCATACGTGTTCGACACGTACCGACCGGAGTAGAATATTCAGGACAACTGACAAAAAACTGATACGAATTGGGAAGCAAGAATAAATCCTTACCTTGTTTTTAATCTTACGCCGAATCCTTTTGAGGGCCCTCTCTTCTGCCTAGAAATAAAATATTGCTGCCTTTAGTAGTCGTTTCGTTCTAGGTACTAACCAACAAAAGATAATTTCTAACGGTTACTAAGACCGCGTCATCGACTAGCAAGAGGACGCCGGTTATATGTATCATTTCTGTCATGCAAAATGCAGGATTTCAAGGTTCACTTCCCACTGCTACCTTAGGGCTATTATCCGGTCTCCAGACGAGAGTTCAGTAGCCATATTAATACTATAAATATACCTTTGTCAATGGTATCCTGCTTGGTACCGGAAGTCCTTCAGAAACGAAAGTTTCTTTTTCCTCATCTGTGAGTTTTACTTTATCATCGCAGCCTTTCTCAGTGAAAATGACGTCCTTCTCAACCTAGGAAAAAAAAAATCAATATTCGGTAACAACAATCAATATTTCATTTTATGATTCACGTCACTCCAAAGTAAATAGGAATGAAGACAGCAGCAGCTGAGTAATTTTAATCACATTTTGTCGTCCACACCTGATCGCATTCGTCATCATTGAGTGAATAACCTTGTTCTCCACTGACATCAATGTCGCTGCTGTCTGAGTGCTCTTGTTCTTCAAAGATATCTTCTGGGTAAGATGCGACTTCTATCTCTTTCTGAGAAGAAAGTAAAAGCGTTAGCTAGTATAGCCACATGATGATAAATTTAATATATTTGGGTGTACACTTAAAATAGGCTTCTTTCTGTTCTGGTTCGAAAGGCAATGCACTGCTTGAGGTCGCGAAGGACCTTAGACCAGAAAGGATTCTGCATCTTACACCCTCGTCAGTTCGAACGTGGTTAGCAACCTCACAGCTGACAAAGCTAACGTTTATGCTATACTGTTTCTGACTATGTTTCTTGCGACAAAAGCAAAAAAAAAAATTTGCATAGAAAACGTTCACACCTTTTCTAGCAGAGAAGAGATCTTGAAAAGAAGTTTTCTGTCTTGCGAACGGTCCTTTGGAGAACTTTTCAGGCTGAAAGCATGACAGCCTTTCGATGAATTTGCATTCTAAAGGAACGGAAAAAAGGAATATCAAATGTGACGAAGCCTTTTGTTATGAAAAAAGCAATTTCATGGACCAAAGAACAACGACAATGAATAGGAAAGAACTGAACTCGATGGAAAGAAATCCTCGTAAAGCAAAAACAATCCAGACTGGCCCTTAATAAAACTCGTTCTCTCTAAAAACCCACTTATCATGACGCGTTAACATACGCTGAATGCCACACCTTTCTAGCTAATATCCTTATTCACAGTACATCGTAAAAGGATCTGAGCACATCGTTGAACTAAATTGATTTCGAAGGATATCATGAAACAACGTTTGATTATGAGACCAAATAATCATGAGACAAACCCTGATCACATAGCAATAGATTTTTTTATGTTTTTTCGTACGTATACTCATACTCGAACCACAGAATCTCCTTCACAGCTCTCTGAAAAGCTCTTTTTCTTTGGAATTCGGTTTTATCTGACCTCATCGCTTTCAAAACCTGGGATAAATGTATTTAAAATTTGCCCCGTATTTCTTCTTAAAGATCTCAGAGTAAATGAAAGCGGATTTTTGCTAAAAAATATTGCAAATATCAGAGCAAGAACAATATGGATTGATAGGAAATGTTGAATTAGGTGTGATCGGTGTAAAAATTTCATCCCGGACTCTATCCATCTATTTACAGTAAGGAGAACGGTGCTATGCTGAGTATGAAAAAGAACGGTCGAACCTCCTCTTTTGTCAACAACAGCCACTTTTGCATTGTTTTAGCGTGCAGTCCTTATTTTAACCTCTCCACATTAGCAACTAAGCCTTCACGTTTTCAAGAGGACAACCCTTTGCAGCTTTATTTCACCTAAGAGAAGAGAAATCATCCTCCTGGAAAGGGCAAACGTTTCACACACCTTATTCACAGTACCTTAACTCGTTTTGTTTTGTTAGCAATTTTTTGCTAATAATAGATTTTTGGTTTCTTCCTTACTTACATATGATTTTGGATTGTATTTCTCAATCTTTTCCCTATATATAACTGCCAACCATCTACAACGGCCTTTTCCTGCCGAACTCAATGCGGCCGTAATGAAGATACTTGAATGCACTTGCAGATGATCGAACTTTGCGTGTTAAGATTCATTATCATATAACAAATAGAAAAACGAAAAGTAGAATTTCGCAATCTAAGTATCGAAGCAAAAAAAAAAAAAAAACCAAACGCGGCCAGAAATATTTTGTTACAACCTTTTTACGGATAAAAAACGCAGAGGTGATTCTTTCTTCCGAAGGGAATTTCATGCAAACCCATTTCCGATTGCAGCATCAAGACAAAAAAATTCTAAACAAAACCAAACCAAACTGAATCTTTTAAAGATATACCTCTCGACGTAGACAAAGCAGCGTGTTATAAATTACGGCTGCGAGTTTGTCACCAAAACAAAGTATTTAAATCGAGAATCAAAAATTTAAAAATGAGCACCACAGCTGAAAATTAAGAACAGACTTGGAAGGATGTCTATGAATTAATTAAGTAGTCCTTTTTTTTCGTATCAGTACCATCAAATAAATATCCCAATATAATTTGCATAAACTTTCAGCTTTGTGCACTTGTAAAATTATCCTATACAACTCACCTTGAGAGAATGAACACCCGTAAATTCGTCGTAAGCTTGGTTAAACGCCTCCATCGCCTCGTCTTCGTCACGTAGCAGTTAGAAACTACAAATTGAAGTGCATACATAATTTTGTTTAAATTTCACGTACATCTTCTAGCGACGTAAAAAGTGACACATGAAAGAACACGATAAAGATGAATGACGCAAATAGAAATTTAAGGACAACTTGAAAAGTAAACTATGAATTCAAACAACGTAAAATTGACTTCAGATTATCTTTTACAGAAAACAGTTATTTTGTAATGGATACTGATATTATTACTGAAAGCAACGTCGTTTCAATACCATTAAAATAGTATGAAAACTGACCATCTATCGTCGGGTCGCAATGCAGAGCAAAGCGTAATTATTTCGCGGTTAAAATCATAGCTTTTCATGGTGGTCCATAAAAATGCTATATTAATGTTCAAGAATTGAAAGATACTTAATCATGCTGATTTTAAGCGTGATGCGAGTACAATTACTTTTACCCTTAATGAGTTTTTTCGTCTATGACGGATACATCTCAAATAGAAGTTGTTATGAAACTGGGACTTCCTTCATCACAACTGTTTTGGTAATTCTCATTTAAGAATATGGTGTAACATTTTGAACACGTAGCGGGCAGAACTTCTTCACTCGCATTATAAACAACATTATCGACCTTGAGTTGTCCCCTGGAAATATGCATATGGAATATGAAGCGAGTTTTTTTTTTAGGCAATTAGAGTGCGAATGATGTACTCATCTTGAATCAGTAGAGGAAAGGTAATAAATCTTCCCTTTATAGGGCAGTTTCTCCTGCATCTCCTCCCATATTCATTCCACATCAAAAATTTCAGCATAAGTGTTCCCTTTTAGCGGCGAACTCTTTCGTTTTGGCTTAAAAAGTGGACAAGTTGCTATGCAATCTTTATGTGAAAATAACCTCGAGCGTTGGTACATTGCTTCAACTACGGTTGTGCAAAGCGAATCTCAATTTTTTCGAAATATATTTTGCCCGTAAGAAGTTAGTCTGCCTTACCTCCGTTCAAAACAGAATCTGAATACTCTAGGTAATAAACCGAAAATTCTTCAGTCAACCAAGTTCTTCACACTTTACTGTAAACCTTTACTCTAAATCTGACTGTGTATAGGAGTGGCGTTTACAAGGTGTATGCAAATAAGGATAGAAGTCGAGTACATGTTAACCAAAAACACGTTGAATACCTTTTTACACGTGAATAAGGTTTCTTATTTCCTCACTTCAGTCAAAGACAAATGCAAACGAATGTCCGGCGTATCGGTCATTAGAGGACGTTTCTATGGTGCAGTAAGATCTGCCTGGAAAAAACGTCATCTAGTCCACAGAAGAGGGCTAATTAGTGCAGTTAACTTTAGTCAAAATACGAACGACTTTTTTGCTGTTAAAACTTAACTGATTATTTCTAGCAAGCTTGCTCACTTTTTTTCTAATACTTCGCTTTTATCAATAAATCTTAAGAAAAAAAGAAAGTTCTGTAGACAGCTTTTCATTAGGTACTTGTTAAGCACGAATTCAGTAACCGTCGTCATGTAGAAAGAATCTCCCGTGCACACGTTTGTGTTTTATTTAGCTACGTGCTTCGACGTGTTGCCACGAACCAGAAGATATCGTGGTATTAATTAAAGATTAAAAAAAAAAAAAAGAGTTACTTTCGCCATAAGCTGAAGTTGTTTTCAAAATAAATCTGTAGCCATGACCCAAACAGTGCAAACGAGAAAAACTATAAATGAAGTAAATATATACAAAAAAACTACGTTTTAAAAATGTTGATGTCTCGTGTACAATTAGAAGAAACATAAACAATGCGCCTTTGCTTTATTTATACATATAGGTAGAAAAACCTTAAAATTCTGAACAAAGTTATATTTTAAATTAAATGAGAACGCGGTTCTTTTTCAAATTAAGAAAAGCAGTTGCGATAGTAGAAAGAATTACGTTGCAAAACTATGAGGTATTTGACGTTGCTTACTAAAATGGGCATTTGCTAATTTTTTTTTTTTTGTCTGCTGAAAAATCATACAACTCCCATGAAATCTCCCTCGATATCATCCAAACAGCGTTAGCAACTAGTAAACGTTCTGCTTATATCAGGATTTCTATAATTAACATTTGGAGAATTTTCCTTTATTTTACTGACCAAAGCTAAATGGGTGATGTAATTACGAATGTCTCCCCTGTTTAATCCTGTAGAACTGCAGGGTTCCTACCCGATCCTGTTTAAACAGCTGTCTATAATAAAAGCCCAGTTTACAAAGCAAGAAACATATTCGCAAATTTACATCTCTTAGAAGGTAAAACGTTCCGCCAGAAGACACAGGGTTCGTGTCATCTCCGGTCCACGACAAACAGCAAGCACATAATGCAGTAATTAATTTTCTCGACAGCACTCAAAGTTTCTACATAAAGTTGCGAGCGCCGCTTTAGTCGCCGCTTTGAAGGGAGAACTATTCATTTTGAAAAGTGATTTTTGAACAGAATTTCCCGTGATCCTGTCCCTCGAATACCAATTGTTTTGTGAACTACCATACCCCAGAGAAAAAGAGAGCGAGACTATTTAAAGCTATCACGCGTGGACCTTAAGATGTAAATAATAGTTAAATACATTTATTTTTCTGCTGATCTCAACATTTAAAAAGCTAATTTTTTTAAGCCAGAAATGAAAATCAATCTCCAATGAGACCGGACGGAAGTTATAGAGAAAATTCAGAGGTAAACTCTTCCGCAAATATCTCCAATTTCGACCACCTTGAATTTCGTCCATCGAATGAACGGAGCTTCCAAATGTTACAAAGCAACGCTTAGAAATAACTACATAACGATTTCTTTACTTTAGTGACAATTGGCAAGAAAACGGTGGATGGAAAAAAGCCGATTTTAATCTCATAAGTGAAACGCCACTAAACCATACCTTATTAAGGCCAAGTTCATATTGGAATTGCTATAGAGTAATTAATTCCGATTCTTTTGCTATAAAATAAGCGACTAATTCAAGTAGGTCTCAACCATGAGAAGAAAAAGAGTAAATTGAAGATTTTACCTAGCTTTAGCGAGGTCCACAGAGAACGCTGATGTACTTCCTTCCTCGTGATTTGCTTTGGTAATTTCCCACAAGTCGATCGAATGTCGAGAACAAACTCAAATCAAAATTTTCTTATTTACCTCTTGTCATGCAAATAGATCCCATTAGCGATGCTGGCCACCCGCGCTGGACCGGCTACGAGACAATGAAAGTTCAAGCAATAAGAAGGGGATATGGTTATTTATTCAACAGTTCCTTATTTTCTCAATTTCACGCCACAGTTAACACGTTGTCGAGTCAGTTTGCGGACGGCAGGCGGACACGTGGCACAAACTCACGGTGGACTCGTTCTCGAGTCATGAGTACAAACGTGGCGTTTTCAACAAATAAAAAAACAGGATTCGACGACCGTCGGATTAAAAAAAAAAAAGATCGCATGGTTGAATCATAAATGAAATTAATGATACTGAAAAGAGCGTTCAAAAGTCATTTCGGTATTTTACAGAGGATTTCCTTCTGAAATTCGAGATTTTTTTACCATTCTTTACGTTTTGCGCCAAGCTTACGCCAAACCATACGTGGCGTGTTAATCTATTGTGTAAGGTAATTAAAGCTGTTGTATTGTGGGAATTTTTTTGATTCTCATCCACCAGACAAAGATTTCTTATTCTTGAACTTTTGAAGGTTTTCCCGCAGGAAAAGATCATGTGAGGCCAAATCAATTCCTATATGATATAGAAATACGAAATGACAATGACAACAGCTTACACTGCCTGAGCTAGCCGGCTATGAAATGAAACTACAACAAAATCTGCATTATTAATTCAGATTGCCAGTATTTTCATTAGTTTCCTAGCAATTTAGTTTCAACCAATGGAAATGTCTTTGTATGAAGGTAAAGGCAAAAACTAAGTAGTTGCAAAACCGTTTCTGCCGTTGCGAAAGTGAGAGGACAAAAGAAATTGCGTGTTTTTGAAGTATGCTTGTAGTAAATATAAATGTATCTTTGTTGAATAAAGTTATAATTCGTGGTAAATTTAAGAATATTATGTTTATGGTATCATTTTTATATTTTTATCGTTTGGATATAAATTTTAAAACCGTTAAAAAGTATGGCTCCTTTTATTCACAACTTTACACGGACAAAGGAAAGCAGGATAAAGTGAAAATTGTAGACGTCACAAAAAGACCATCAAAGGTTTAACACGCGCGGAAAATCTTCATACCACGTGTGCTGTTTACATTGGTGAACTTGCGTTATCCCACGAGTTTCCAGGCCTAGTAGTCTTCGTTTTTTAGTTCATTTTGATCATCTTTATGTCCTTTATTACTTCTGATCGGAATTTGCTTAAAAAAAGGTTACGGACGTACACAGAGACAATAGTTCCCTGCATTTGAAAATGGAAATCTTAAAAAGGTACGTTCATCATAGCGTCTCAAAGGAATTGTGTTTAGATAGAACAAAATTCTAGAACGAAATTTTAATACTGTGTAAATAGGATCTGAGAGGATTTCGGCGATGAGAAAAATTCTAAATGTTGGATCAATAACGAATTTAACAGTCTCTACCTTACCATAGAGGGATAATTTACTTTCGACAAAAGTACATTTACATTTCTGTAACTGATTGACGGTATTTTCATTCATTTTCATTGTCGTAAAGAATTGTTTTCCAAGAAAATAATTTACATAGATAAGCAATAAAGAGGTAAGAAAACACCAAAAACGACCAAGAAAAGTGGAAGATGGAGAAAATTAACATGGATTGTACATGAGGAACCCAAAACCCTAACCTAAAATTTTCAGTACGTGCAAACAATGACCAAGCACAATCAATCGGACTAGACTGAAGTACTGAGGTAGATGGATGTTTCTCTTTCGTCCTTTTCCTTTGCTTTATTTTCCTAAGATGAGAAAATATTGTCATGACAACAGATGCAGCCCTCCAATCAGTTTATTCCGTATCTTGCATTCCGGTAAGCGGTTTTTAAGTCCCGGCCTTTAAAGGCGGATCACCAGCACATCAACAACGAGAGAGTAGTTTTCAAAACGAAGTTCACCCGGGTTTCTGCAAACATCATTTGATTATCAACAGGGCTGTGGCAGAGCTGCATAACGTTTGCACCCGCTTCATTGACCGCATACCGGTGAGCATATCTTTATTCAGCTCTGCCCAAGGCAGCAGTTTTTTGTAGTTGAGAGGTCTCCAGATAAAAGACAGCAAGAAACTAAGGAAGTACCCCTTGCATCATGCAACAGACTCCGTAACTGCGGTTTTGGGGGCACTTGATGGACCGGCCAGCAAATCAGTCGAAGCTGCAAATGAAGCCGTTCCATACCTCTTCGGTCTTCGCTAGTATTTTTGGTGCTGCGACTCAGTGCTTCAAAGCGAACCCAAAACCGCTAAAGACGTAGGCTGACCAGCATTTACTGTATACCTTCCGACGTCTGACAACCTCTGTCTTCAACATTTAAAACAACAGACCAAACTAGTTAAGGTGAATGATCGACTTATCTCGAGCGAGACGCTTAGGTATCGAATTAAATAAATTATATGCAGGAATTCTAGATCTGAGTGGATTGCTACTGTGTATTTGTGAAATCAACATTGATCAATCAATCGACTGACCATTTATAACACTTAACTGTTTTGATTAATCCGTTCTACGAATCTGTCTTTTTCGCTGACTATTTAAATCGTGAAACGATCCGAAGCTAATGTGGGACGATCTGACTTATTTCCTTGAAAGAAGAATCTGACTTGCATCGAGCTGACTATAAAGCACAGGGACCAGATGCCTTTCCAACTGAGTGTCATTAGTTTTTTTCCAACTAATCCAGTCGGAACCTCCTGTTAGCGGCCATGGCTATTTTTTGTGAGTATATATCTACTACTGTC